AAAGACAAGCTGAGGGGCAAATAGCACCCTCAGAAACTAAAAAATCAATGGCGGAGGCATTGAAACAAGCTCCCCCCCCTAAACCGGAAGTAAACGAAGAAATGGAAGTGGAATTAGACCCAACGGGTAAACTACCACCTCCAATAATCCTGCGCGAAACGGAAGGCTGGAATCAATTATCTAAACAATTTATAAACAACGGGATTCACACAATAAAAGCAAAAAACACCGCAAACGGAATCGCGATTCAAACAGTAGACGTGGAAAATTGGCGCAAAGCAACTAAATTTTTGGAGGGTAAAAACCTAGGTTTTTACACCTACCAACTGCGATCAGAAATACCACTACACGTGGTATTAAGAGGACTCCCAGCAACTATGAAAGCTGAGGAAGTTAAAGAGGACCTTATCGAACAAGGTTTTGAAATTTTAGAATGCCATCAGCTAATATCTAGAGTAGGCGGCAGAGGTGCACTGCCGCTTTTCTTGGTAAAAAAACCTAAAAACGCGGATAAAAACATTTATGACGTTGCGAGGTGTTGCCACTTGGTGGTGCGGGCCGAAGCCCAGCACAAACCGAAGGGCCGCGTCTCGCAATGCCATAAATGCCAATGGTTTGGGCACGCACAAAAGTGCTGCCACTCGCAGGCCAGGTGCGTTAAATGCGGTCAAAATCACGAATCACGGGATTGCATGCCTAACATAACAAAAGAGCAAATTAAATGCGCAAATTGCGGTAAAAATCATACAGCCAGCTACAGGGGATGCGAAGTATTCCCTAAAATTAAACCAAAAACACAGACAAACACTAACACAACACGACCCACAACACAACCAAAACCACAACAACAAAGACAAACACAACCACAGACGCAACAACAACAGCCACAAAGACAAGAAACACACACCACAAACACAAACACAAATACACTCCAAGGCCTAATGGTCGGAATCACACTCGAGGACATAGAGAAAATGAAAGCATTCATGTCTCTTTTCAAACAACTCAACAACGGACAGTAAATGCAAGCACAACGTTTACCTGAATCACTTAAGATCAGTTCGTGGAACCTGCACGGTGCAGCACTCCGGAAACCGGAACTAATGGAACTCCTCTCGAGAATCCAGGTAGACGTTATGGCTCTGCAAGAGACGTTACTAACACCTACTAAAGACTTCCACATACCAGGTTACACTTGTTACCGAGGAGACAGACTCACAAGACACGCATCAGGCGGAACCATACTACTCGTGAAAACGGACATCACACAGAACCTAGACAGAAAACCGACACTCACACTAGGCGAAACAGTAGCGGTCACAATAAACACTACACGCGGAAGACTAAAAATCATTTCGGTATACATCCCACCAGGACCAAACATCACACGTGAAGAGATCAGCGAATGCTTTTCAGACCACTTACCAACAATACTAATAGGTGACTTAAACGCGAAATCCAGAGACTGGAATTGCATTAACGACAACCCACGCGGACGGAAACTGACAAACATACTCTCAGAACTAGACAACATTTACGTAATAGCCCCCCACCTCCCGACTCACTACCCAACGCGAGAAAACGCAACACCGGACATACTAGACATAGCACTAATACAATCAATAGCGACTATAGTAGAGATAGAGACACTAGACGAAGGGACAGCCGACCACAATCCCATACTAATCACGATAGGCGACGAAGACAAAACAGACATACAAGACACAAAAACAATCGTGGACTGGTCAAAATACCAAAGGACTGTACACAACACTATAGGGGACATACCACGAATAGAGACTAGACACGACCTAGACCAAGCCGTAGCCCACCTCGCGAGGGCAATTAAGGAAGCAATGGACAGATGCTCGAAGAACATACCAACCACTAAATTCGAACTCGAAATTCCTCCTAACATCAGAGCAATGATCAGAGAAAAACGCCAACTAAAACGACGCTTTCAACGCACGCTTGCCCCAGATGATAGAAGAGAGTTGAATAATGCCTGCAGAATCCTGCGGCATGAACTCAACGAACTCCGAAATCGTCAGTGGCAAAGCAGGTTGGAAGAGCTCAACACCGAGGACAACTCATTATGGCAAATCCAGAAAGTACTTAGACACGGCAGACGAAAACCATGCCCACCAATACACGGAGAACAAGGTATTGTGTACACTGACGCTGAGAAGGCAGAAGCTTTTGCTGACTCCTTCGAGCGGCAGTGTACAGAAAACAATGTTCCAGACACAGACGAAGTCAGGGAAACAGAACGACACACAAACAGAACAAAAAGACAAATCAGACTCACTGACGACACGAACCTCATCATAGACCCCAGCTCACTGGAAGAGCTTAGATTAATAATAAAAAACCTAAAGACGCGTAAAGCCCCAGGCATGGACAACATACCAAACAGGGCCCTTAAGGCCCTGCCGAGACGCGGAATAGCCGCACTGACAAACATTATCAACGCTATACTGAGACTACGTTACTTTCCAAATGATTGGAAGATTGCTACAGTAATAATGATCCCAAAACCAAACAAAAATCATACGTTTCCACAAAACCACCGTCCTATCAGTTTGCTCCCATCCATGAGCAAAGTGGCAGAACGAGTCATCCAAAGACGACTAACAACAATGTCTGAGGAATTAAACGTGATCCCAAACGAACAATTCGGTTTCAGGAGAAACCATTGCACAGAACTCCAAGTTCTCAGAATAGTAGATTACGCGATTACAGGATTCAATCTCGGAAAAGGACATTATACTGGAGCAATCTTCCTTGACGTTTCGAAAGCATTCGACAGGGTCTGGCACGACGGACTACTGACCAAAATGACAGACTACGGGTACCCGATATCTATGGTAAAGCTAATAGCCTCCTTTCTGCGGGGAAGGCGATGCCAATGTAAAGTTGGCAACGAAATCTCTGCAGAGAGGGAGCTAGAAGCAGGAGTACCGCAAGGCGCGGTCCTTTCACCACTACTTTTCTCCATTTTTACCGCAGATATCCCTAAACCCGCGAACAACTTCAACAAACTCGCACTATACGCCGACGACACAGCCATAATTGCCAGATCCAGTAACGCAAACATGACAGTACGATACCTACAAGAACAAATCGACACACTAGAAACCTGGTTCAATAACTGGAAGATAGAAATCAACGCAGAGAAAAGCCAAGCTGTTCTCTTCACTAGACGACGCACAAAACCTACAGGACACGTAATACTAAACGACATACAGATACCATGGGCAGACGAGGCTAAATATCTAGGGGTAACCCTAGATAACAAACTCACCTTCAGACAACACATCACAACACGACTAAACTTGGGTAAAGCCGCAAGGCAAAACCTACAGCCTCTAATAGGTCGCAGAAGCACCATGGCTCTATAGTTGAAGCTGCGCCTAATAAGAACCATTCTACTTCCAATAATTTTGTATGCATCAAGTGCATAGGGCCAATGCGCAGAAACATACAAAAAGCGAATACAGGCATTTCTAAATGCCTCAATAAGAATGGCAGTAAATGCCCCATGGTATATCCCAAATAGATTTATCTATAGGGACCTGAACATAAACCCAGACTACATAGACAACTACATAAGACAACACGCGGAGACTACATTCGGAAGAACGGAAACCCACGAGAACCCGCTACTGCACGACCTGACCAACAGACAATTAAATCAAGACCCGCGCTTCGGAAGAATAAAGTACAAGCGCCCAATTCACCAAATATAAGATAAAAGAATGGAATTAAATCAATATCAATGAAAGTTGCATAATAATCATCAGATAAATAAACAAAAGAGTCTCTCCTTTGATACCCTATAAAAAGTTAACCAATAATAATAAGACATAAGCACAATTTTTGCTTCCCATTAGGGTAGGGAACCACCACGCAAAGTCAGGCTAGGAAACACACATTAGACAAAAAGGTTTAGAAGTCGGAAGACTGAAACCAAGTAAGGGGTTATATAAAACATATGCAGATTGCCAAATGCATAAGGTTGAAGTCCACTCGTTAGTGAGTGGGGGTCGATGGACATGGGGATGAGGAGCTATCATATAACGTAAGCTAGTTATATGGCGGCACTTGATCCTGGGCATTCAACCTTTCGGGGGGCGTGGTGTGTGTTCAACTTCAGTCTTAAACGTGACTCAATACAAAACGTCTCCAGCAGACTTTGATCTGTCTATCAAACATGCTACGTTCGAACAGTACCAGTGAACTTCGTTAATAATACCTGTGTAATTAACTACTCAGGTAAATTGATTGTAAACTGCAACCTTTTGTGACTCAGATGTAAAAGTGAAGTGAATCTCTCGCCAATTAAACACAAGTGAACAGTGGAACAAACATGTTCAATTCAATTTTTATTTTATGTTCCGGTTTCCACGAAAATGGATATCCTGTAATGTTCAGAAAACATCGTAAGAACCAAGGGAAATAAAAAAAGAATTGGTGTTCGTCTTAAATTTCTAGGGGTCAAATGCCTTGGGGAACACCTCCCTTGGCAATGTGTTCCAGAGCCTCGCTATCTCCAAAGTGACTACGAAGGGATGCGAAGCCCCAACTCGACGGGTTAATCTCGCGGGAACTGCCAAGGGAGGAACAATTGTTGATATTTCAGAAAAGCATCGTTCATGAAAAATCTATGAAATAGAGCCAGGGACAGTATGTTTGAGTTTGCGTCATGAATTTCGAACGTGATATTTGCATCGCGAAAAATTTTCATGCGATACTCTTTTCGTGCGATCTACTATTCCCGAACCGAATGCGATAAAGAGTTTGTTGGTTTCGAAGGGTGTGAGGAATGTCTTAGCTTTGATCACGAATTCAACCAATAGCTGAAAGGTATTTAAATCATATGACTTGACTCTTCACATTGTCAACTTACTGTCAGTGATTACCTATCGAATATGAATGCTTATGGAACTAGGAAACATTTATGTGATGATATGAAGTGGTAAAATAACCATTGATTGTAGACTTGGCAAGATATGAGAAGTAAAGTGAAAACTAAGCAAGCCTCCATCAAAAGGCATGCTCGTGACACAGGAGAAGGACCTCCTTTACCTACAAAATTGAAACAGAATGAGGAGGACATATTGAGTCTGATAAGCAATGTGGCTGTGAATGGACACTCTTCAGTTCAAGAATCTTCTGCACACTTTGTAGGTATTGATTATTGATAAATTATTGATAACTTATTAAGTCCTGCAACTTCTATTCATGCACTTCTTGTTGTTATATAGTTAGCTGTTAACTATGAACACAGAATCCATAGAACCATATGACACGCCCCCCCTTTTTTTAAAATAACATTATTTCTTGTTTTGAACATATGCAAAATATAAACGTAATTCACAAGAAGTCTTTGAACTTCACTGGCGTTTTTATGACTCGGCCTCTAGATGATACCTTCGTGATATTGGGGCTTCTATGGTTTGCTGACGTATTGGAGGTATTCAGTGTACAGGGTATTTCTGCCTGCCTATTTGGTACACTGGGTAACTCTGATGATTGACCGTTTGGTGTGGGTAGGCGACTGGCTGTGAGCAAGGACTGTGGGCAGCCTACAACGGAGTATTGCTCTGATGTAGTGGCTGACACAGGTCTTGAAGTCATGCTGGGTCTTAGGTGCACTCTATTTCTGCGATAAATCCCTCCGTCTTCTGTTCTCACAATATAACTTTCAGGGCTGTCATGTTGTTGGACTACCTTACCAGGAACCCATTTCCTAAAATCCTGCTGAATAACAATGGGTTGAGATTCTTGGAGTTGGCAAAGGGGCTTTTCATTTTTGTTATAAATGGACGCATCTGTTGACTGCTGTCTATGTAAAATTTCTAAAGCCTTGTCGGTGTCAAATAGAGGTTTTAACACACTACTTCTTTGTGGCACATCGCCTCTAAATTTTCTTTCGTTGAGCATCTCTGCCGGTGATGGTAGGTAAGTATTGCTTGGGAGTCCCATTGTACTCCATCACCAGAAAGTAAGGGTGTTTGTCGCTTTTGAGTATGAGTTTGTTTGTATTTGCCGCTCGATCAATCCATTGGACTGCGCATAATGGGGGCTGGACTTGATGTGACAAATATCCAATTCCTTCAAAAACTGTTTGAATTTGATCGAATCGAAGGGTGGTCCATTGTCTGTCACAGACAATAATGCTTCTATAACGAATGAAGCATCTTTTCGTGACATTTCCACCAATTCAATACATTTCGAATGGTAGTCACATATGACCAGGTAGTTGGAATTCTTTACGTGTAGAAAATCTATTCCTATCTTCTCCCAAGGTAAAGCTGGAATTTCATGGTTTTGTAGAGGTTGCCTTACATTATTTCAACTATATTGTAAACATGTCATACAGGAAGATACTATTTGTGATATATGCTCATCAATATTAGGCCAAAATATTGCTTGTTGGGCATTCCTTTGGTGAGCTATGATGCCTTGATGAGATTGATGTATTTTATCAAGCATCTCATTACGCAACTCGGCTGGAATTATGAGCTGTTGTCCCTTAAATACATAATTATCAATTTGGTGTACCTACCTCATCTCTATAAGGATAGTAGGATTTGGCAATTTTCTTCACAGAAGATAGATGTTCAGGCCAACAATTTCGAATGTAGTGCCGAAGGGTTTCAATTTCTTCATCTTTTTCTATACTTTCCTTCAGAATTGCTTCTTTCTCTTTGGAGATCAAAATTATAGATCTTATGAATGTTTCTTCCGAATAATCAGTATTTTCTGTCTTCTTCATAGGTTTCCTAGACAGAAGATCCAGGTGAGTAGTGTTCTCTTCCAGGTATATATTCTAATGACACATCATATTTTAAAAGTCGGATCACTAGCCTTTGGAGTCGAGGTGATAATGTCTCAATTGGTTTATTGACTAGGCCAAGAAGAGGCTCATGGTCAGTTCTGGCTACAAATGATCGACCATACAAATAAAAATGGAATTTTTCACAACTCATTACCACTGACAATAGTTCTTTTTCTATCTGGGCATAGTTGCACTGAGCTGGAGTTGAAGATGTAGACCAATATGCTATGGGATGACCAATTTGGGATATGTAACCTCCCAACCCAAATTGGCTTACATCAGTACTGAGAACTACAGGTAGATCAGGATTGAAGTATTTCAAGACAGGAGCCTTGGCAATTAGTGTTTTGAGTCTTCTTCTGGTCCATTTTCAGTCCATGTCCACTCAGTGTCCTTCTTCAGGAGTATTCGTAGACGTGCTGTTTCTTGAGCAACATTTTCAATGAATCGACTCAAGAAATTGATAGTGCCCAAAAATGTCTGAACTTCTTTTACATTTGTTGGTCTCATCATGTTGAACAGCTTGAATTTTCTTACTTTCAATTTCAACACCATGCTCTGATAAATCAAATCCCAAAAAAGTTGTATTTTTTGTTGCTAATTGTAGCTTATTCTTATTAAATCGTATATTAGCCTTTCTGGCTCTATCTAATAGTTTTTGCAATCTAAGATTATGTTCTTGTAAGGTTTTACCATACACCAGGATATCATCAAAGTAAGCTATTGTCCCATTTAGTCCTAGAATGAGATCATTAATGTATAGCTGGAATATCTCTAGTGCACAAGAAATTCCATAATGAAACCTCTGAAATCGATATCTACCGAATGGTGTAGAGAATGTGCATAACAGAGCTTTCTTCTTCTAGTGGTATTCGGTAAAATGCACTAGAGGCATCTAATACTGTGAACCATTTGGCATCCTGTATGTTGGCAAAAACTGTTTCAATGGTTGGCAGTTCTAATCTCTGCCTAACAATATACTTGTTGAGTGGTCTTGGGTCCATACATATTCTTACTGAGCCATCTTTCTTTTCTGTGATCACTATAGCATGTAATCAATCAGTGGCTTCTTCAGTTTTCTCAATGACATCTTGCTTTTCAAGATTCTTTAATGCTTCTTCAACTGTTATATGTAAGGCTAGTGGAATTTTTCTACATCTAGCAATTTGAGGAACTGCATTATCCTGTATGCGAATTCTACATTTCTTTTGGAAAAACCCAGACCTGAGAATACATCTTTATAATTGTTAACCAAGTCCTCAGAAGAGTTATTTCTTCGTACAACTTGAACATTTTCAACCCTTCTTATAAGGTTCAACTCTGTGGTTGCTTCTAAACCAAGTATTGATTCTAAGTTGTCTTCGAGAATGTAGAATTTCAACTTTTTATTTATACTTTTATGCTTATAATCTAAAATGCTTGTTCCCAATACATTTATTTTATTTTTGTTGTAAGTTACTAGCATTTTCTTAGTTTTTTCGATTTCAGGAGGTGGTCACATTTGTTTGTAGAATGCTAAAGGGATTATATTCACCTCACTACCTGTGTCCAACTTGAATTCGATGGATACATTGTTAACTTCCACCTGTTCTCTCCAGATTTTCTGATTTTGTTCCTCTAACCTGTTGACTTCTTTTATAATGTCTATGACTAAGTTTTCATTGTATTCTTCCTCATCTATATATTTATCTGTCTCCATTTCTCTCATACTTCTTGCAGTATAACATGCAGCAAAATGATTATGTTTTTTACATTTTGAGCATACTTTTCCCCATGCTGGACACTTGGCATAATCGTGCACATTTTTACATCATCTGCACGGTTTCTTGCTCTTTGAAGTCTCACTTTTCCCATCGACTTCTTTTTTCCTGTTGTTCTTCTTCACCCTGTGTACTTCCATTTGGCTAGAACTACCTGCTGACATTGCTTGAAGTTGTCTGCGAGACTCTTCATCAGCTCTACAAATATCTACGCAAGAACTGAGGGTTAGTGTCTTCTGTTGTAAAAGTTTTTCTCGCAATGAGTCACTTTTGATCCCACACACAACTCTGTCTCTTATGAGTGATTCCAACAAGTTACCAAAATCACAATCTGCTGCTTTTTGCTTGAGAGATGTCACGTATTGATCAATGGTTTGATTTTCCATCTGAGAACATGAGAAAAACACAAAACGGGTGTACGTTCATTTTCATAGGGTGCATAATACTGTGACAGTTTGTTAATGATTACATCTACCGTCAGATCATCTTCGAATCCTTGTTCATCTAAGATATGCAAGAACGTGGCACTTTGTATTGGTATAGTTTTAGTACTCGTCCCTGTAGCTATCCAATACAATTCTATTTGTTGCTTCCATTTTTGCCAAGCTTTTTCCGGATTATTACCAGCTTTGAAACTTTTGGGAGGCTGGAGTGAAGCTGACATGTTTGTTCATTTTATTTTTTCAACTGAAGGATTTTTTAAATTTCTTCGTTTTTTAGCTGCCACCATGTTATATAGTTACTTAGCTGTTAACTATGGTATAATAATGAGCTGCTAGTTTATTAATATTTTATTAAAGTTTTTTAACTAACCAAAATCTCTGATCTCAACGTACGACTATTACTTATCATATCATCACGATCGACCTTGACAATCGACATTGACAATCGACATTGACAATCGACTATGGACACAGAATCCATGGAACCATATGACACTTGACCTCAACTTCTTTTTTCTTTTGATATTGTAATCAAATACAATTTAGGTCTTCATCTCAACTCACAACTTTCATTTTCATAACGATTGTCACCATCTGAAGTAATTATCAACAATGTATGTAATTTTTTTAGGATTTCAAAAATGCTGATGAATCAAATCGAGAATCAAATACATTACCTACCTTTCCCATCATCGTTGATACAACTCAGCTGGTGAATAATGATATAAACGAGGATCATCATTATTGTAGAAATGATGTTGAAGATGATGACCCTCTTGGAGAAATAGTTGCTGAGTACTATATATAAGTTTTAGGTATTCCAAGTTGATCTGAATTTGTGCTTACAGTATTGGCGGAAGTGCTGCCAGCGCCTAATATAATAAATATACAGAAATCAGAAACTGTTACACCTCAGGAAACAATAGTAGCACCTACACCGACTTCAGGTATGTTTGCAGTTTGAATCAGCTATAATTATATAAAAGGGTATGTGTTACCTAGTGTCTATAATCAAGGGTGTTACCTAATTATTGTTATCGTACATATCTTCTTGAGAGTTTGAGAAATAAATAGTTCTCTCATTATTCTGAAAATTGCTTGGTTGTTTGATGTATACTAATTTCAGTCAAAAAGCACAATATTTCGTCTGCAAGAAAGTTGCAGGCAGCTGCTTCTGCAGCAGAATTGCTTAGTGAAAAAGCAAAAGAAAAATTACAGATGAAAAGGGAGTATTATAAACGAAAATTAGAAATCATGAAAGCTGCAGAAAATAGAAAAAGAGGCTACCATAACAGGATGCTTGAAATGTAGGGGAAAGAATTGATGATAAAAGAAAGAAAGGCCCATGCCCTTGAAAAATTAGGTGAAAATCTGATGATTAGTTGAACTATTATTTTTTATTGAACAGTTATACTTGAATTCACTTATGTTATATTCTAAAGTAAGTAAATTCACTTATTTACGCTGATCAGGAAATACTTATTAGGAAATATAATATTCGTTGTGAATGAAAATTCTAATTGAATAACTTATAATCTTCAGTTCAAACAAAATTTCCGATACTTATACCTTCTCTCCCTATCCCCACTAGGTACGCATGATGTTCTTCGAACCTTATAGGGAATCCCTTTCGTGCGCTCCAAGCGATAAAAAAAGTGTGTGTAAAATTGATATGAAATAAGTATTTTTCTTGAGTTTGGAATACAAGAAAATTTGATTGTCAAATATTTTTATTGTACACATGTAGTTGAGAAAGTATTAATTATTCAATGTATGCACGGTTTTTTTTCCTTTATGACAAAAAAAAAATTACACAAATATAACAATGTAAACTTACACAGCAATCTACATTTATTATTAGAAATCAATTAGTTGGTGAAATAATTTTGGATCAGTCTTCTCTGCAATCGTCGACCTTCTTGTAGTTGAGGATGAACTCTTGCACTAATAGCTTCTTCTGGTCCTATTCCTTCATCATCCTGTATACCTAAATCAAGATGTTCATCCCCTTCTTCTGGTTCAGGTGCTGGCATATTATGTTCAATACAAATATTGTGTAGAACTATGCAAGCATCAATTATACGAGCAGCTTTCTCTTGAAGGACGTTGTCTATGAAGAACCAATCGAAGATATTGCTGATCTTATCAACAAAATCAATGCAGCGTGTGCCGCTATAACAAGAAGGACGCTCCTACAAGTGACCCAAGCTCATCTGCTCAAAGTTTTTGGTAGTTGTATTCGAGCAGATGGACATAATTTTGAACAGAATTTTTCACTTACTTCATCATGTAGTTTATTGTTTGTATGTATTGTTTATTAGATTAACCTGAAATGAGTGAACTCTTTTTGCTTCTCTACAATTTGACCTGCATTCTCCAAACACCAGTAACATGTCCACTTTTTCCTCATTGCTAAATTGAACCATTTTCATATAACTATTGTTAGTTTTGTTTGAATCGAACAAATTAGAATGTTCATTATTACAAAATGTGACAATATCTCTGACACAGTACTGACAACATGTGTCGCTTGTAATTGCACTAAAAACAATTGCTATAACAATGATTGCCATAGTAACTAATATTCATGGCATTCTCGTGAAAATCATCCAAAATCGCATTTTTTGTCAATCAAGAAATATTCACTATAAGAAGAAGTCGGAAATGAGTACGATGAATTAGTTGCTGTTCTTTTGCGTGCGTGTAATTTCAAAGTCACTGCAATCGATTTATATTTTCGACCCGACACGACGCTCAGCTCCTAGAAGGCCTTGAATTTTTTATACTTCGAAAAAAATCTACTTGACCCCCTCCATTGACTACTTTTTACATAAATCAAATATTCCTATCCGTTTTCGAGATATTGTCTCGACCAATGCTACAGGGTGGTGACTCGGGGATGAACTCGCTTGGGAGGCCGAGAAATCAAAACAGTTGTTCGTTATAAAGCTACAGTTTATTGAAAGAAATTAGTTTCATTAGTGATTTTAACAAACGAGATTCAATGCAAACGTAAATACATCAGACTTCGCAATGAAAAGAAACATTTGATAGTTTGACAACATAACGATTGTGACAGTAGTACTTACAAAATAATCTCTAGCAGATGCAGGGGATGAACCATAGTGAAGGTTAGCTGATCAGATCCAAACTGATGCCTTGCCTTATCGGCTGTTCGATATTTATTTAGAATATTTTGATATAGTCAGCGTTTTACTCCATATGCGGGTATTTCATTCCGGTTGAATGAGCTGCCAACGTGAGTGAAACATTATACTTGTTTCCTTTAATCGAATGTTACACGATAAAATGAATAATGAACTTTTATTAATGAATTTTGAATCAATGTAATTTTGAATAGTAGCTATATGAATATTTTTGGTTCCTATTGTGACATCCCTGGCACCTCCAAGAGCTGGCCCCACAGCTCGAACTGAGATTACTGAAGACAACAAATAATCATCTGAAAAATTGGGCCATTTAAAGAAGATATCCATATATACTTATATCATCCTGAAATTCAATCTATCCACTACTAGATATGATATCGGTAGCTATAAACAAAAAAAAAATAATAATTTTCAGCCAACCCAATATATTTCCTCGAAGGAAAATCGAAATGAACATATAGAATCATTATAGTAATCCTACCGATAGGTATGAAAAAGTTGAACTAAAAAAAAACGCCTAAATCAGTCACAAAAATAATAATATTACAATGAAATCGTTGGTCTACTGGAAAGATTAAATCAACATACCATACTTATTGAATGAACCTACATTATCGAAACCTGCCCTAAAGGAAAAATGAAGTATCCATCATGTAAATCCTGACCAATCAAAAAAAAAAAAACAGAAAGTCGAAGCTATAAGTTTATACACTGACCCAATTATCTGGTTCATTTCGGAATCACCTTCTGAGTCCGACACTGTCTTATTTGCAATAACACAGAAAGTCAAATTTATAAGTTTATATACTGACCCACTTTGGTTCATTTCGGAATCACCTCCTAAGTCCGACACTGTCTGATTTGAAATAATACAAAAAGTCATTTCGGAATCACCTCCTGAGTTCGACACTGTTTTATTCGCAAGAGTTCTCGCCTCAGTACTTGCGAGTGTGGGTGGCAGACTCTGCATTCTTCCCGACTTCGAATTCAGGAATTGCTGCGTATGCAAGTGACAGGTGATAAAACCATATATCGCACGTCTGTATTCCATATTTGAATTGTTTGGTTTAGTGACCTTCATACGCAACCTCCATATTACGTGGGTAAGCTGAGTTTGTCGTCTCGCTTATCATGGTAGTGTGTTCCTACTGGCTTCGGTGAACTCAATATTTCTGTGAGACAACTATTTTATGGTTGTTTATTAGTACTATTACCCCAGGTTGGTGGTTAGTTCTGCATATTATACCATCCTTGACTGTTTGCCGAGTTGAACAGTCATGTCGTGAGTTTTCGGCGTATGGTAGGTTGCCGGGTTAACCTCTCCATTCAATATTTCAATGTTATCGCCGTCAGTTCATGGTGATCCTTTCTTACTCAGACGTGGAGGTGTTTGCTCTTGCATGGACCAATTATTTGTGCATCTCGTTGGTATCGGGACGTACGAGATTGGGGTGTCTGCAAGGGTAGCTGCTACAATGATCATTCAACCAACAAGCAACCATGCTCTCTAGCTGTCAACGTGTGTAGATGCAGCAGACCAATTATATGTGCATCTCGTTGGTATAGGGACGTGCGAGGTAAACTTGGTAGTGGATACCGAATGGGGTGTCTCCAAGGGTGGCTGCACAATGATGATTGCCCTCGTGATTGCCTTCTACTGAGACTAGTACCGTACCATCAAATAACCATGGTTTCCAACTGTCAACGTGTGTAGGAAGTAGCAGGAATCTGTCCAGTTACAGTGCTCCAGGAACTAGGTGACTGTTGCTCATCCATCACCCCTGATGATTCACGGTCGAGAATTATAGCGCAGTGTCGTGTCGTTCCAGTGTCTCCAGTGTCTTCAGTGTTCTCAGTGATTCGGATATATGTAACGAAAGAAAAAAAAACCAGGTCAGTTCTTATTTTAACAGTTTGTTAAGATATTGTAACAGTAAATGAACAGAACATCCTTTAACTAATCTAAGTACAATATTCACTTGTCCTATATTTTTTATAAGAATATGGACAACTTCCTTAACTCATAGAAGACAATATCCAATTACAATGGTATTAGTACGATTACCCCGTATTTGCCATAATATATGTTTTTTTTTCCTGATCAATACTTTACTAACATCTTCTCCCTTCCCACCTAAATTCAACATCAACATTTTATTTTTTCCTCGAGTTTTTCCTCTACAACATTACCAAATATTTTTAATACTCAGTGACCCCTAAAAGTTATCTATTCATGTTCCACAACAAATTAACACCTGTACTGCGCACTTTATCATTACACAAAATATAAATGTATCTTTTTTCCAATTTAAGTATTCAACTCAGTATTCTTCAATCTTTCGATATCCATAACTTTGTGGAAGCGCTTCCATACCTGAAATTTACCAAGTGATTTATTTGATATCAAGCCTCAATATCAACTTAAATAACCTAGCAAAAATTGGCTGTTATTATCGATTAATATAACTTTGTTTCAAATGTTAACTATTTCAACGCGCGTACTTCAATAAAAATTACTCTCATAATCTTTTAATACATGGCCTTTTCATTTTCTTCAATTATTCGCTTTCATACTCGTCTTTATCTCTATCATCTATCACACTATGCAAGGAACATCTAATACTTTGTCCCGGAGGTATATACAATGATCCTGTACCAACCTCCAATGTATAACTTCTTTTACAGTTCGTATCATCTGGCGAGGGGATTTCTGTCGTTATTTGAGGAATATTCTTAAGAGGAATGTTTCTTTGGGAAGGGGATGGTTCTTCTGTCACATGTCTATTATTATTCTTCTTTCTCTTCATCAGTAATAATAAACATTTTACTGATATATACGCAATAAATATACCAAATGCCGCACAAACTAATCCTAAAAGAATGTCATGTTGGATCAAAGTTCCATTTTCTGCTCTCACTAGATTTGCTAGGTTTGGTACTAACGCTAAATTTTGCCTTCGGAATATGATATACTCTAATATTATTGATATAATGAAGTTCCAAATCAAAAATATCGTGTCATTTGTATGGCTATAACTACTAGGATAAATGTAACTAACTTTTTCCCTAACACTGTCTATTATTTCTTTGATATCGTCACCTGCAGATGTCAGATTCAAATGCGGGACCGTTAATGTATAG